GCTCCTGAGTGTTATAATGTTCTAGGGACTGTGCCACACTCTGTCTGAGCCTAATCCCAGGGCCCCTCCCCGGCTCCTGAGTGTTATAATGTGCTAGGGACTGTGCCACACTCTGTGTCTGAGCCTAATCCCAGGGCCACTCTCCAACACCTGAGCATTATAATGTGCTAGGGACTGTGCCACACACTGTGTCTGAGCCTAATCCCAGGGCCGCTTCCCAGCTCCTTTGTGTTATAATGTGCTAGGGACTGTGCCACACTCTGTGTCTGAGCCTAATCCCAGGGCCCCTTCCCAGCTCCTGCATGTTATAATGTGCTAGGGACTGTGCCACACTCTATGTCTGAGCCTAATCCCAGGGCCCCTTCCCAGCTCCTGCGTGTTATAATGTGCTAGGGACTGTGCCACACTCTGTGTCTGAGCCTAATCCCATGGCCCCTCCCAGCTCTGCTGAGGACTTTCCCAGTGTCATCACTGTGATGATTTCCAGTCACCTGGTGCCATCACTTTAGTCTCTCTTGCCCTTTTCCTTTTAATTTTTATTTCTCTTGTGTCCTATTATTTTTCCTGTGATTGCTGGCTTTTGCTGAGGGTGGTTGGCATCTTAAATAGCCCTTATAAGAGGCTTTCTTTCTGAGGGGGAAGGAAAGCAGTCTTGGTGTGTCATTTATAAATCTCCTTACCTTGTGGCTTTTCTCTGTTGTATTGTGGGTTATAGCTGAAAGGATGCCACTCATCCTCAAAACCTTTGTGTGTGGGGGGAGAGAGATGGGAATTGTTTTTGTTTTTTTGTTTTGTGTTTTTATCCTCCCTCCACTCTCCTTTCCCTCCTTTCTTGTCCTTTCTTTCTTTTTCTCTCTCCCCTCCTTTCTTCTTTTCTTAAGGGAGTTAGAATGAAAAGTATTTTTTTTCTTTTTTTAGACAGAGCCTCAAGCTATCCCCCTGGGTAGAGTGCCGTGGCATCACAGCTCACAGCAACCTCCAACTCTGGGCTCAAGCGATTCTCCTGCCTC